TTTTTTTTTTTTTTTTACTCCGCACAAATTAAAAGACAGTACAATAAATGGTACCATAATGTAGAAATACTAAATCATTCTAATTTATTATTATTTGCTTCACTGTAATGAGAATAGGTGGAAATGTGCCACAAATAAACGTAACATTTGCTTCGAGTTATATGTAGATATATTCTGAATAGTTGTCAACTATAAATAATAGTGCTTAGTCTTAATTTCATGTGAACATTTTATTTACATAGCTGGGTTAAATACGAGTCATGATACAGATACAACTACACTACTTGATATATAAGGTAAATCACGATGATTTACAAAACATGCAACGTGTCATGTGAGATCGATGGTTAATTATCATGAAAATAATGTCACGAAAAAGAGCTTCATTTTACAAAACAAAATATATTTCCTATTTATTTATTTTGATTTATGATCTGGACATGTTAAGCTTGAAACTGAGGTTACGTTTACCTGTTTAACATTATCCTCATCCTAAATACATGCAACAAAACAGAATGACTCTCTAACATATCTAAACAGCTATAAGATAAAGTAAAACATTAAGAAAACTGCTGTTTTAAACTCACCCGCTGCAGCTTTCTGTCCCAAAGTTACATCAACCGCAGAACAGCTGATCGTTGCTGTGACAGCGCTAAAGTTACTGCACCACGACTCGCAACGCGATTGGCTGATTGATTCCCGCGATGAATGACTACGAGCGTTTTGATTGGTCCAGACTGGGGAGCACATGGAACGCTTATCCGAACGTCACTTCCTACCGGAGCACCGCCCTCAAAAGACAATAAAAAAGTTTTTATCTGTAAGACTTCATTGCACTTGTTTTTAAAAGTATATTTGTAAACCAGTTTTATGCGCCTGAAATTTAATATAATTTAAAGCTGCAGTCCGTCACTTTTGGCGCTCTAGCGGTTAATAAACAGAACTGCGTGCGTCTTGCGAAAGAACATTGTAGCCGGAGCTACTTCTCTCTGTTTACGTCTATGGCGAATCACGCAGGTACTGGGCTACTCCGCAGCGGTACCTACCCGAACCAGTCTAAATAGTCCGAATATAAACACTTATTATAGGTGTACCGTAGTGATTCAGCACAAGCCAAAAATACGGTTTGGAAAATGGATTCATGGTGTACTCGCTTATTATATAAATTTTGTAAAAAACACGGTTTGGAAAATGGGTTCATGGTGTACTCGCTTATTATATAAATTTTGAACACAAAAAAGTTACGGACTGCAGCTTTAAGTTGGTTAATTTTAAGTTAAATTATGTTAATTTTGTCTTATCCCTTAAAATAAATCTGAAATTTCCATAACATCTCTCTCTCTCTCTCAATTACATTCAATATGTGCTTTATTGGCATGACAATTGGTACAATGTATTGCCAAAGCATGTTTACATTGAGTCTAAAACAGATATGTATTAAACATATATATGTAAATAAATAAAATAATAATAAATACTACAGGCATGTATATATAATTAAAATAGAACAAATCAACATTTATTATTCTATGAAAAATTTAAGATGTGTGTGTGAGTGTGTGTGTAGGAGCATCACTGTTTTGTTGACTCCTCCCTCTTTTTGTGACGGGCATCAATGTATCTTGCTGCTAGTAAGATACAATCTTGTTCATGGAGAGACTTGATTTGATTGATGTCTGGAGGTCCAAATTCCCTAATACTAAAGCATTTACCTGGAGCAACAAGGCTGCTTCTCATTTCTCTCGTATAGACTTTTGGCTGATCTCTAATTCTATTGACATTCCCAGTACTTTAGTTGATATTCTCCCAACTCCCCTAACTGACCATAAGGCAATCTATATAAAAATTAAGCTTTCTGTAAGCACTTTAAATTCTATTAAACCATCATATTGGAAGTTAAACAGCTCTCTATTATCTCATATTACCGAAAATTAATTATTTCATTAACCATTATTGGAAAAAAGCAGTAAGGGAACTCTCTTTTAGTAATAATTGGGAGTTACTAAAATTTGATATTGGTAAATTTATGAGAAGCTATGGGAGTGCACTAGCCAAGCTTAGGAAAGCTGAGGAAGAGGCAGTAATTAGTGAAATTGCTGTTGTTACTCAGAGGCCCCCTGAAAATCTCTCAAATGTTGAAACTGCTTTGCTTTCTAAATTACAAAACCAGCTTGATGATATTTACAAATGTAAAGCTGAAGATGCCTTTGTGCGATCTAGGAGGAGATGGATGGAGCAAGGCGAACAAAATTCTGCATACTTCTTCAGGTTAGAAAAATCTAATGCCAGTTATAATAGCATGACTAAACTCAATGCTGATGGTATCATAACAGATAACCC